ATGTCACATAGTTACCCATTTTATGCCCCGCATATAGTTACAACATCATTTAACATATGTTTATGTTTCCCGCAACTTTGAACAACATCAACTACAACATCAGCTACAACATATCTTGTCCCCACAATTCTTCTTCAACATCAACCACAACGTCAGCGACAACATAGTTCGCAACCATTTTTTTTCCTCAAAACAGAACAAGCCCAAAATAGATACCACTGTTTGATCTAAGACCTGATGAGATTTTGTGTGTTCGCGATGTCGTCGCCTATGTCGCCCTTCAACACCCGTTTCGTCTGTGAATAGGACCAATCGTGTTTGGGTAGTTCCTTGGATATGGGGGACGAGACCAGGAAAGCAACTGTTTGAACAAAAGTGAGTGAGTTTTTTCAACGAACAAGACTGACGAAGAAACCCACCGCAGTCGCCCAACCATTTGAAGCGACCTCTTCTTTCCTCATCCCGGGACCTTTGGGAACGCCGGGTCCGGCGACTTGACGGACTGGCCCACCCTCGAGGCTTCGCCTATGGCGCTGTGAACCTGTATACCGCAGCACCTGCCTGACCGCAGGGCTCGCTGTGACCGCAGGGCTCGGGGCGCGCGCGCGTGGAGCCGGGCGTTGCGGCGGCTCGGCTGGGGGCAGAGCGGCTGGCGGGTTGGAGCGAGAACAAGACGGCCAGTTCGGTTCGCGGCGTGTGAGATTAACCATGGGACGTGTTGTGGATGAGTGTTAAGAACTAAGACCACTGGCGTCACAAGTCTAAGTGGCAAAGATGACTGGCAACCAGCGCACCTCACTGGGGAAGATCGAGGGTCTCCTTGGGTTTTTCCGAAGACTCGATTCCCAACGGCCGTAGACTGAGTGTATCTTATCGTTTGTCCAAAGTCGGTGGGTGCAATCTTAGGATGGAAGAGGTCAGCAAAGCTCAAGAAAGGAAGACCGAGCCTTGCGATGGGTAGGAGCAGCTGCTGCAAGATATATGTTGCAGTAGTTGGAAGGTTGATTTCTTATTGAATCATGCCCAAAGTAGAAGGGGGGTGCATGCAGACCAGGCAAAAAGCAAACCAGCAGCCTAGGGCCTAGGGTCGTTTTGGTTAGGTATCATATTAACTTGTATGTCGATGGCTCATGAAGTTCCCAACCAATCTGAGTTGTCAAGGCAACCTGAGGATCTCATGTTTGTGGTCTGTTCATTGTGAGGGCTGCAACAGAGACATGAAAGAAGACAAACACTACTGCACAACTGTTGCGGGGCGTCGTCCGTCCACTCAAGGACTATCCATGTGAAAGCCACCATGACTATTGCTCATGAGTGAAACCCTCATGACTATCCTACTATCAATCGATGAAATCCATGGATTATCCTACATCCTCCACCCCACCCCCTGCCTCAACACCGGGATTACTTCGACTCGTCTGACCCATCCGTGTCAGGTTCCGCAATGCGAACTCGGCACGAAGATCCCGCCCGTTGGGCTCCGAGAGGTAGACCTGAGTAGCTGTTGGTAGCTGTTTGTGGTGGTTGTGATTGTTGTTTTTGCATGTTTTTGCTTCAGTAAAGTGATTATTGTTTTTCCTCTCTATGGGTAAAATCCCCTCCAGGTTCCTTCCAATCCAAATTTTCAGGTCTAAGTGTAACTGCCTTCTAAGCAGATCTTGGGAGCCGGGGATGGTGGGCCATTGCTCAGGGGTGGTCTTTCTCAGCAGACTGGAACAGGTTGAACCCGACAGTTGAACCCGCGGGGCTGCGCATGCAAGGAGATGCAAGGCGATGCAACCATTTTACTTGGTTGAAACGAGGTCCGGTGGTTGCGTTTATTTGGGTCTTTGCCCATGCTCAGTGATTGTAAGTATAGGCAGCCTCCACCAATTGGAAGCTGACGAAGGAAGATAAGCATTTTCTCTTCTTCCATCGTTCATTTTCAGTGTGCACAAGTGGTTTATGGTCTCTCGTCAAACTTGTCAACTCCAACATGTTGCAAAAGACCAATTTGGTGTTCGGACTTCACCACCTTCTAATCCATTCTTGGAGGGGGGTAGATGCTTACCACACCAGTTATTTGGGGAGTCAAGACTTTGTGTGCAGTCATTCTTGAGTGGGTACCATGAATCACACTTTGTCCGCCCGGCTGCTGGTTTGGGTACCTAGTACCTCTACACATCTCTATTTTCAAAGCATGTAGAATGGCCCTAGCAATATTCAGCAAGGTTCCTCTTGTTCCACCCGTTGCCGCGGAGAAGACTCACCCGAGTCACTTGGCTTTGTGCAGTGAACAATTTTCGTGGACGATTCCGAAGCAAGAACTATTGACTGTGGTGGAACTCCTTGCTTTAGAAGCCTTTTATTGCCAAAGATATCTCAAAGAGATCACTGGAGGTTGCTGGAACAGACCGGAGTCTCCTTGTGAAAGAAGGAGGCACAGCGTAGACCTAGCTGGAGCATTATTTTATGTTGGCAAAGACATGTTATGATTTGTTATGATTTGTTATGATATTGCCGGGTGTTTTTGTTCAAACCGGATGAACGTTACGTCCCCATTAAAGTCTCGTCTTATGAGCCTGGTGCACCCTTGAGTGGCAGGAACCTGTGACCACAGCTACACTGACTGTCACTAATGACAACTGGATAATTCAGATACATATAATATAATATACAATATATATATATACACATGCATTCTGTCGAACCAAAGCAGTGGGCTACAACTTGTCTTGTGTCTCCCCTCACCACTTGGGTCTTTTGTCTCGCCATAATTGGTCCTTTGATGAGTCACAGCAGTTCATCTTTGGAATCGTTCACCCGTTCGTCACGCGTTGAGTGCGGCCGGAAAAAAAGCCGCTCAAAACGCGAGACTTCGGCGAGTTCTCCAACGTGCATCCGGTCACGGGAGACCTCTCGCAGAAGAAAGGGGATCATGTTTTCTCCACCTGTCAGGTGACGGTCTTTGGATTTGATCACGGCTCAGGTCCACTTCCACCAACACCTCCACTGGCAGCTGCCAGTGTGGGCGGCAGAGTGGAGTGCGCTTTACTTTCATCAGAGCAAATGTCCCAGCAAAAGTGATAGAACTTCAAACATATGTCAGAACAAATGCCAGAACTCGTGTCAGACCACATGTATCAGCACATATGTCAGAACAAGACAAGTGTCAGAAAACATAACAGATAGATCTTGGATGATGTGTCCCAATGCTTTTCAGAAAACATGACAGGTTTGATGCAAAACTACATGTCAGAAGTGCCAGACTGCCAGAAGAGACGTCATAGAACGCATGCCAGAACATATGATGTGTCAAAACACATGCAGACTTGATAAGAACATAGTGAGGGTGCACATGTCAGGCAGCTTTTGTCAGGAGAGTTTGTCACTACATGAACCCTGCCTGCTTCCAAAACGCCTTCAGGGTGAGGATTCACTCGATGGGTGCTTTTTGGGGGGTCTGCAATCGCAGTAGGTATTGAAGAGGTGGTGCCCGTCATCAAAGAATCGAACAGCAGGTATTGAAGACACCTCAGAGGTGTCATTGGCCCTTGGAACTTCCACAGTTGCCTCATGTTTGCCTTTAGTTATTTTTTTGGTGGGGCGGGAATGAATAGGCAATTCAGCTTTTGGCTACGGCTGCTGACGTCCAGCTGAACAGCTGCCTAACGTCCATCAGCAAATGAACATGGTGGATGTGGGTTTTGTTCCAAATCCAATGTTGGTGGACCAAGCTATGCGTTGAGCTCCTGGGAACTGCCAGGCTTGGACCTTGGTGGATCGCTACAGCCGCGGAGAGGACTGGGACACCTTGATGTCCCAAGCACGGTGAATGGGACTACCAGCGATCAGTTGGGGTGGTTTGAGGGGTCAATGTTTCCATGGATATCCATGGAGTGTTCTTTTTTTGCGTGGAGGATGTGTCAGACACATTTTACACAACCCAAGCCGAATGCCTCGGAATACACAACCCAAGCCGAATGCCTTCGAATGGACATGGAACAAATTTTCTAGGACTGATTTTGGTTGCCGGCGCCGGGGGTCTTTGGTGGATGTGATCGGGTTTGTGCCATGTCAGTGGTGGTTTGAGCACGGCTACCCGAAAACCTGAAACCCGTTGCCTTTGAACCGGGAAAGGATGATTGGGTGATGTACTGTAGGATTTCGATCATAATTAGGGGACCTTCGTGGCCGACTCTACCCTTGCAAGAGCAACATCTCTTATCCCAAACACGACTAATGGGACTGCCATATTTGCCAATCAGTTGGAGTGAGTGGTTTGGGGGGTCAATGTAAGTATATATGGCAAACATGGAGTGTCTGGGTATAGTATACTAGAAATTACTAGAAAACAATGATGACATGTTTTCCCTAGTAATGCGCAGCAGGAAACAATACAGATTCATTGGGTTCTTGTTCTGTTAGGAGTAGCCTTTTGGCCATACCCGATGTGATCATCGTCGTTTTTGTTGTTCAAGCTGCCCAGACGCTCCAGACAGCCCGACCGGTCCCCTCAACCGAGGGTCCATGAGCTTTTGGGTGGACGATAAGGTACCAATTGTGGTGTGCATGATTTGTAAATATTTGTAAAGTATAACCCAAACAAATTGAGTTCCTGGTCGGACAGCACCGATTCCAAAAAACCAGCAAACCAACTTGCAGACGGGATAATTGATCCTGCAGCGAACCATTTAAACATATTGAAACCCATTGTGAGCTCCATTGGTGCAGGCCATTCAATTCCCATTTGATTTGTTTCCATCGATTGCGTGGTCAAACAACTCTTGCTATGCTGAGGGTTTTGGGGTCAATGAGTCAATGGATGTCATATGTTCATATATTTTCAGGATTCATTTCTTCGTGGGGGGGGTAATGGTCAAATGCATTGAAAGCACCAGACCCCAGCACGATGACATATATAGCCCGGCCCTGTTTACTTCGGTGGTCAGGTGGTGCAGACCCCAGCAGCCTCCAGTTCCGGTGGAAAGATGACTGCCTGGGCCCTCCTCGGCTTTTGCAGCCTTTTGTTTTCGACAGCACCTCGCACCATCGAAGACACCACCTCGCGCCATCTTCGACCCAATGGCTCCAAAGCTGACGGTACTTTTTGCCGCTTGAAGCGGGCGTTGAAGCGGGCGGAGGGAAGAAGGACGTCTAGAGATTGGATGGTGGACGAAGGATCCGGGAAGTTCTCGCAGAGAGGACTCGACGCCTTTTGATCCCCGGGACGTCCGGACCACGGCGGCGCCAGCCGTCAGACCACAGGAAGATAGAGGCACCTTCTGAAGAAAAAGGTTGGTAGGCCATGGTAGGCCGTTGAGTCCAGGATTCTATATTGGACCTGGAGAACCTGTGCCAACCTGAGAAAAGGATTGAACATTTTCAAGTGCTCCTGCAACATCAACTCTCACTCTCAGGCTGCGGTATTGCTTGACCATCATGATATACCCCTCCCCCTCAAAAGGACCAGTTTTACGAGGTCCTGCTGTAAACGACCTAGTTTTACGAGGTCACATTTTCATAGACCTTCAAAAACTTGAAGGTCACCATTTCCACGGAATATTATTTGGGCAATCATATATATATATAACAATGTATACTGGCCACATGGTACACTCATAAGTTTACATAACCTGTGTTTTGCTTTTTAGCAACGCCATGTTTTGTTCCAGCCGATGACCATTCATTGCCGTGTGACATTAAAAGCTTCGAGTGCCGACATGAGTCACGCTGGAGTCATGGTGGAGTCACGCTGGAGTCACGCTCAATCAGGTTCGTACAATAGTTTTTGACGGGAAAAACTTAGCAAAAGACGTCAAAAACTTCATGGTTTAGGTGGGAGTCACGCTAGAGTCACGCCAGAGTCACGGCCCCACGTTCAGGCACTAAGCACTTGCTGGGTCCTAGAGCTAGCAAGTTTGGTGGCTCATCCAAAGGCATCAGTATACGACCGTAGGTGGACAAATTATTCAAACCCTTGCAGAATTCACCCCCCTACCCCCCCCATAGTTCAATGTTGGCCTGTTGGTGAAGGAGGCTGGCTTGAGTGTACGAATCAAATTCACTGAGACAACATGCGGGGGTGGTTATCTACCATGATGGTTTAGGGTTTGATTTATTTGTCCATCTACTGTCTCAACTGGTTGGTTTTGTACACATCCCCATGCCAGAAATATTGGTTCAACATATCGCCCTCACCTTGTTATCAAACATCATTGTTCATTGCATTTGCTGCTTGCTGTTGAAGAGTGTGTGTCTCCTTGGCACGGTACACTTGTGTCTTTTGCATCTGTGCCTGTGTCTTTGCACATGCTGTCAAGGTTACACTAACACTTGACGCATGAAGGTCAATCTTTTCTTGCGCCCAAATCATTGCATTTTCCAGGTCCTGACAATGTGGCGTCCAAATCATTGTGCTTTTCGAATCACTGTGTTTTTCCAGTTCCTTATTCTGTTGGCGTCCAAATCACTGTGTTTTTCCAGTTCCTTACTCTGTTGGCGCCCAAATCACAGTGTTTTTCCAGTTCCTAGCTCTGTTGGCGTCGAAATCACTGTGCTTTTCCAGTTCCTAACTCTGTTGGCGTCCAAACCACTGCATTTTTCACGTTCCTAGCTCCCTGTCACAGTTCCATACCAGTTCCTTACCAATTCCTAACCCAATTCCTGACCCCACTTCGTTGTGTTTTAGAAGTTCGTGCTCTGCTGGGAGAAACTACAAAACAATTTCTTTTCTGAGACTCATCACAATCCATGGCAAAGCGCAGGCAAGAGAGGTTAGGAACTGGGAAAGGAATTGGTAAGGAACTGGGACAGGGAGTTGGGAACTTCAAAAACACAGTGATTTGGACGCCAACAGAGTGAGGAATTGGAAGAACACAGTGATTTCGACGCCAACAGAGTTAGGCACTGGAAAAGCACAGTGATTTGGACGCCCACGGAGTTAGGAACTGGAAAAGCACAGTGATATGGATGCGAACGTTAGGAACTTGAAAAACAGTGATTTAGATGCCACATTGTCAGGGCCTGGAAAAAGTGTTAGTGTACCTTGACAGCATGTGCAAAGACACAGGCACAGATGCAAAAGACACAACTGTACCCCGTACCAAGGAGACACACACTCTTCAACAGCAAGCAACAGATGCAATGGACAATGATGTTTGAGAAAAATTAAGACGATATGTCAAACCAATATTTCTGGCATGGGGATGTGTACAAAACAAAACAGTTGAGACAGTAGTGGGTTTTGATCTGTTGGGAGAAACAAATGACACGAACATGTCATTTGGTTTCTCCAAACATGTCAAAACCCAGTACTGTAGTAAAAACCTGCTTTCACAGAGTAAAGGGTGCCTTTTACTCAAATTGTAATTTTCAAACTAAAAGACGACGTTTACGGAGTAAATTCTGTCTATCTACCATTTCCACGAAAAGATTTTTGGAGGTCACATTTTGCTATTCTTTTTGCAGAACATTGGGCCCAGTAAAACGAGGCACTTGACTTGGAGGGTACCATTTTTGGGGATAGTCACGGCTTGTGAACGCGACTTACTTACCATTTCAACGGCCCTTTCAGTCCTCCTCCCGATCTGACCCCAGCGTCCGTCCGAGGTGCTCCTCGGCCTTGTGGAGGCGCGACATTGCTTGTCTCTTGGCGTTGAACGCGCCCGTTGGCAAACCAGGTCGCGGGGCCCGGTTCGGCGGTCCTTCACGGGGCGAAATCGGGCGAGGCCGGCAGAACACGGGGAACCCGTGTGTTGGGTGGTTCCGGGAGGTTCGGAAGAAGCTATCCCAGACACTCCATGTATGTCAGATATGCCTACATTGACCCCTCAAACCACCCCTACGTAGGCAAATTGCAAAATTACATGGAGTGTTTGGGTACGGTCTTCGGCAAATCTAGAAAACTACCACGCTCCCAGGTACGACAACAAGGGATCCCTCTCGGCCTGTGGGCGCGGCTGCGCGATGCGGCCCGATAGCAACATTTGCGTCTCTGGCTGCCTCTCCACCAGGCGACTGCGGCAGGAACATTGGGGGTCAAGTGGCCCGAAGCTGGAATTTTGGCGAGCCCGGCGGAGCAACCAGATGCTGGAACTTTGGGCAATTCCCAATTCTGCCACTGCGGAGGCTTCTACAACCAAGCAGTTCTTCTACTGTACCAAGTTCCGATATGTTCCGCCAGCCCCTCTCTAGCAGGTGCATGTCTGGGATCCAACTTGGTCTGTTCATGTTTGTTCCATCCCGGTTTGAGACCTCCCAAGGGGTGCGACTCCACAATGGTACCTCTGGCCTCTGGTGCAAAAAAACACACCGGCCAGGGGCGTGAGCCGTGGCTGTGCCACTTGCTTGGGCAACGGCTTCCAATGCGCGGTCCGCGTGTGCCGCCGGCAGTGCTCTCAAGGCAGAGAAGAAAACAGGAATATGTACGACAGAGGTGGTGATATCCCCTCCCTCAAAATATATCCTAGGGATCCACATACCTTCTGAGAAGATGAGAAGATACTTGGATCCCTAGAATCTTTGAGGTGGGTGGTCCCCAGGTGGCCGGAAGGCAAGGGATATGGACTGTCACTGGGATGGAGTGCCACCACCCGAGCCGCGCCCACAGTGGGCCGGACGAACGATTTTGAGCAGTTCATGAGGTCGAAGGAGGTCGAAGGCAGCCACTTGCCAGTCTGGCCTGAGAAGTCTTTCACGGGGTCGCTCGACCGGTCACTCTGTGGGTCAATGGTTACATTGGAGTTTACTATGCAAACAGAACAACTGCAAACAAATTGGAATGCTGGTATCCATGAGTTACATGGACAGATAGGGAACCTCTTCCAATATCCTTCTTCCAGCAGAGAAAAATTGACATCTATATCCCCTTCCAGCCGGGTCGGTTTGGTCCTTGTCGGCCAAGTCTTGGGCCTCTCGCATCGACGACGAGTGGTCTCTTCTCCGTCGCCCGGAGGCTTCACGACGCCGACCTGCACTGGTTGCGTTCGTGCAAGCTGCTCGCGCTCGTTGTGCAAGAATGCTGGGAAGTCGGCACTCGAGGAAGAGCAATACAACGAGGAGGAAGCCATTGAACCGGTTCGGGTTCCGTTTGGCCTATTCATGAGAGATGTTGGAAAGCAGCCAACTGCAAGATTGCACCAATCTTTCAGATGAACGAAGGATGGAGGAGTTCTCCCAAAACCCATCACCACCATCCTGAGAGATTCGTGCAGACCATCGAACCATTTGCCCAATCCACCGACCTAACCGTGACCTAACCGTGACCTAACCGACCTAACGTGGTTGTGCAATCGATTTGGGGTTGTAGATGTTCGGGCTACGACTTCGATCCCCAATTCAGCCTGGTCCATCCTGCTGGATGGAAGGGAGGGGATGCTTTCCACCAGCGCAGCAGCGCCCCTGCGGCGAAACCCACGACACACCTGGACCCTCATTCCATATCCACCTGGACCCTCAAAGTACTCATCCTAAGAATGGGTACTATACAAGTACCATCAAGTGCCTTGCTAGGGTTCCAGATACCTTCTCAGAAGGTGGGACTGGGGTGGGTGCCAGTGTCGGGTCCAGTCATACCGTACCTGAGGCACCTGGAGCCCTAGGGCCTGTGTTGAATGGAGTCATGTTCTCTCCAGGAGGCCAGCACGATCTTGGCGGCGGCGGCCTTCCCGGAGCCCAAGGCTGTGGCTGAGGCGGAACTGGGGCACACCCTGGGTGGTGGGGATGGGGTGTTCAACCATGTTCGCTGTGGGGAAAGCACCGTAGCGAACGACCGAACACCTGGTAGGTCGACCAGTTACCGTCTCCTAGGGACATGACGGCCATGACGAAGAAGCGAGAGAAACACCACATACCTTGGACCTACCCTGGAAGGTCGAGTGGACCAGGGCTCCGGGTTTTGGACGCTTCCCCATGTGAGTGTGTAGCTTCCACTTGACGATTCCCCCGGAAGAAGGACTTAATGCGTCTTTGGCCTGTTTCATGATTCATTTCAGCCATGCCCTAGGATTCCAACAACATCCAAGAACCATTAATTTTAACTAGGGGCATTACACTGTACATAATTACAGTATATAATATACACAACCATGTCAACCATTTGTTTAATGGTCTTGGAAGGCTAGGGGGGGCTAGGGCATGATCCATGAGCACCTGTGCAATTATGTATGTTACGTTTTGTGAAAGGTCATCGTTTTGGTGACGTTGATGTTTGCTGCACCCGAGGCGCTCACGCTTTTTGAGCACGTCTCTAAGCTGGTGAAACACACTTGGATTGGAGCCTCGAGTTAGGACGTTTTCAGGGCCCCCAAAGGGGAACAAGATAGAACAAGTGAGAGCAACGGATCTTGAGGATCTTGACAGTTCTCCAAGAAGAGCTGAGACATGTTAGTTTTTTTTGTTGCTTTATAAACTGATTGGGATTATATCGGATTATATACCCCTTGTGTCCCTGATCTTGAGAGCCAAGGCCTGACGGTGATCTTGAGATCACATATCTGGCCTGAATGTGCACATCTCTACCACCCTAAATGGGTGATAGATGAACACCTCGCAACCAACACCTGACATCCCTGGCAAAGAACTGGGAGCGCCTTGGAACTCCTCGCCTTCGCTCGGCCAGGAGCCCAAGCCCAACCAGACGGAAACGGTCGCGAGCGAGACCTCCGAGCGTTCCGGGCGCTGCTGGGAGGACCAAGTCTCTCTCAAGGCCACGGGAGGGAACACCACGGGGGTCAAGAGGATGGAGCGCGCCACAGTACGTGCAAACTCTGTGGATCAGTTTTGCTTGGGATCAGGTCACGAGAGTATTCAGGACAAAGATGTTTAAATATCTGTTTCTTAGAAGGGGCCTAAACAACGGAGTATGGGCTCGGTGGCAATGATCATTTTGCAGGGTTGCATTGCAGGTTCGTAGAAGTGTCCAGCAGGTTGTCGAACAATGCGGGGTTCGTAGCATTACATTGTGGCTCACAGAAGACTTGTTTGAACTTTGGTTCATCCTTCGTAAGATGTGGTTCATCCTTATGTGCTTCGCAGAAGTTCCCAGACAGGGTGGTGGACCTTATTTGATTTTATTTGCAGATTCTTGCAGAAGTCAGTGTGCGTGCTAGCCAATCGAAGTACCTCATTGGTGTTGCGGTGTTGCCGTGTTTGGCCATGTATATTTCCTGTCCTTCCTACTGGAAAGGCTAAGGGAATCCACGGAGTCTGTGGCTGCCTCAAAAACAGAGCTATTGAAGCCTGAAGTTCAATGCTCTTGCACCATTTGGATTTCGGATTTAGCTAGCTGTGTAGCTTGCTTCGGAGTTCTACAGATTTCCACAGCGGAAGGTTGTGGGCCGGCACCACATGGTGGAAAAATTCAGGGTGATCTACTTTCGTCCCCCCTGCATTTGGCCCAATTCCGTGCCGCTGGTGACTGGGCGTACGACCCGCGACACCACGAGGCCTGCGGGACTCAGTGCTACAGGAACCCCAACCGTGGACAGTGCGCTCGCACGTGCCTGAGCCTCGGCGGCATGAAAAACAATTGGCGCCGCAGCTTTTTCTTATGTAAGATTCCAGATAATGCGGTCACTTAGTCCCTGAAGAGGTCACTTACAGACTCCAAAGAGGTCACTTTGAAGGTCCTGGTGTTTGGTTTTTGTTTTTGTTCTTTGGCATTTGCCGTTTTGGGACTTCAACACACCAGGTAAAACACCTTTAACAGTGAATCCAGATCTCCATCTCCCCTGACCAGCGTCGATTCTCCGCTGTGGAGTCGATCCGCGCCGCCTGCGCCGTGCTGGAATCCACTCCGCCCGACTCTGCCCAGGAGGGGTCGTGGCATGAGCAGCAATTGCGCCAACTGCTTTGGTGACAAGGTGGATTGCACCATCCGCAAGTGCTTGTCCCAGTGTGCCTCCGACTCCCAGCGACTTGGCGTCTCGAAAGGGGGTGAAGGAAGGGAGGAAGGATGTGGCGGTAGTATCAGCGGTTTCTAGGCCGGCATCGTTGTTACACCCACAGTTCGGAGATTTGGGGGGCTGCTTTTTGCTTGTTGAAATACTGTGACGTTGTTCAAATGTATACCTGGAGCATCCTGGACCGGGGTGTCCTGGCTGGAGATCCGAAAAAAAGGGTCGTCCAGCCACGATGGTCGGTCGGTCGTTTCAGTGGTTGCTGAGTCTCATTCAGCAGGAGACCTGCAGCGACCTGACAGCCGGTGTTGGTCAGTAAACCTGGCATCACCACATATCACCACGGGGCGGACTGAGCTTTGGGATGTTGATGGAATTTCAGGAATCCAAAAATCCGATCGACTTGGGCTTGCCTTTTAATACGTCTTATTGATTCGTTGATTAATAGAGGGGATACCCCCAAGTGTACAACCAATATAGGTATGAATATGAATGTATATGACAAACCACACCGACCCTTCTAGTCTTCATCACTGAATCCAATCCCAAACAGCTCATTCCATGGGGCCATGAGCTCCTTCTACCATGAAAGGGCACTGGAGCATCACTAACAACAATCCATTACCCTAACAATCCATGGGACTGACTTCCCTACACCTCCAAGTGCCTCAGCTACGGTATGACTGGACCCTACTGGCATCCACCCACCCCAGTCCCACCGAACCTACCTCAACAGGTGCGACCGGAGGCCGGCTTGCGACCCTGTATATGGTTGGTATACATTGAACCTGATGGTGGTTTAATGGATGGTGTATGATGGTGTACTTGGACCTACCAAGGTTCAAACTCCTTGCGTCCCCTGGATTCTTAGAGGGTTCAATGCTCCTTCGCCCTAAGAGCAGAGCGGCCGGCCGCCCCATTTTTTGCGCCGGAACAGGGCGCCGGGGAGTCGCGGGAACGGGCCTCGGAACAGGGCTTGCCGGGTGGCTTCTGTCAGGTGCAAGAGAGAAAGGATGAGACGTTTGACGGCATGGTTCAACATGCCGTTTGACACAGGAAAAACAATCCGGACAGTCCTCGTTGCAAAGGATGAGTCCTCCAGGCTTCTGCACGGCACTCACGCTTCTGCCAAAAAGCATCGTTGACTCTTGGTGCTGCTATGTGCTGCTATTGATGTCGGTCTTAGTCTTGGCTCCATGAACTTTGGTGCACAAGCTTCGGAGGACACGCTGGCTGCTCCCGCAGCGGTCTGGCGAGCAGTCGGCGGTGCTTCCTCGGAGCGATCTGAACGATGAGCAGCTTCGACTCCGGCAGGTCGCCCAAAATCTCAGTCCGGACGCCTTGGTAGGGACACCGAGAATTTTCGGGAGACCCCTGGGCACCGGAGATGTTCATGTCGACATACTAATGACTCTCCAGTTTCAGAACAGTTTCAGAATCCGACCGATTAGTTTCTGAATTCGGCTCTAACCTGACACAAAAACGCAGACCCCGTTCACATTATAATGGTTTTGGGCATGCCGCTCAGAGCCGCGCTCGTTGGCGCGCGCGCGGCCCGCGAACCCGAGGTCCTATGCTTGCACGTCATGCGTCCGCGGGAAGTGCGGTCGCTGCGCCATGGAGAAGTCCTTGGAGAAGTCTTTGGACTCAGAGCCTTGCTCCGGGGACGTTGAGGTAACGAAGGGGAAGCATAGATAGATGTTTTGTCCCAGAACATGCGATAAAGAAAATTCGATAAAACACCCATGGAATCCTGGAGTCATGGGGCCTAATGTAATAGGTATCTCTTCCAGTCCGATTGTCTGGGATAGTATACCAAGAGAGGTTGAGTGACCATATGGGACCCTACTGGAGTACCTATGGGATATTCTATAGGGTCCTTCAACCTCTGCTGGTAGATGATGAGCCGACAGGTTAACCTTTTTTCATGCCCTCTTCCTTGGACCTCTCCCAAAAGAGCTGGGAGATGACGGGAGCATGTCTTCTCGCCCAAGCATAGGAGATGAGGTCACTTGCAGGGGTGGAGCATTTAGCTCCAGACAGAAAGAATACGATGGATGAACATATGGGACATCCAAAAACCAAGAGGAAAGTGGTCATCTTCATTGGAGAATTGTTCATAGATTTTAGATTCTAGATGTTCATTTTCCATAGCTCCTGGCAGGGATGCTCAGTAAACCTTGCTTGAAAAGCTCCATCCACTCTTCTTCCGCTTTGATCCCGGGCCATCGAGAACTGCGGTGCATGCTTCGGTCGATGCCCACCACTGGAGGGCCACAGCAACGGTCGTCTCACTGTTTTGTGTTGCATTCCTGGAAAGAGAATCCAATCAGTCTTGTTTGAATCCAATTGACATGGGGGGAGGGCTGATTTCGGTGGAACCATGCAGCCAAATTCAGCATATTCAATTTATAGGCATATATACCTGGACCGTACCTGGACCATCCAGGGGTGGCCGGAGAGATCTCAAAGTAGTCCGACACCCGGGATGCTCCTGGTCTGTTAGAATCCTAGCAGATATGCTCTCACCAGAACCACATCCTCATTGAGACACAGAGCAGAAATTCTACAAAAAAGCACCGTAACATACCGCAACAGTTCTTCCAGGCAGTCTAAGAGGGGCAACTCGTCGACTCACCCCCCAGATGCGCCAGTTAAGCGCAAGAGCCCAGAAGCTGGCGAGGGGGGGGTTGATCTCTGTGACCTCAAAGTGAGTCTCTGTTTGTGACCTTTTACAGGCCTAAGGGACTGACATTGAAGGTCCACATTGCTTTCTGTTTTCACCAGACATCACGTCATCCCATGTCGTTCCTCATCCCTGTTTGCTCGTTCTGGAGGATCCTTCGGAGGGGTCTTGGTTTGACCACATGATGGAGCAAATTCACAACTTGCAGAAGGAGAAGAAGGAGAATCACACTGCAACACCAGAGGCCGAGGCAGTTCAAGAGGCCAACGCCATCTTCCCCTAGAGGGAACGGCGGCAACCGCCTCGCGCCTTGGTTCATTCACCGGTGTGGAACGGTGTGGAACGGTGAGTTCGCTCGGCCGTCTCTGCACCGAGGAAGTTCCGAGGGCAACGCAGTTGCATGTATCGCATCTTACCAGCACACCATCCAATATGATCCTACTATGATCCTACTTCGATGATGGTCAAACAACTTGTCTTTTTTAATAATCAAGTTTAAGACGAGGTCCATTTCTAGAGTCACATGAGAACTCCTGAAAAGTTTTGCAGTCAACATGGTTAGATTGAAAGCAATCTAACCCCCCGCAAAGCCTCAACCAATCAAGGCAAAAAGACATGGTTGTCACCGTCTCTTACACATGATAACCCTAAACCCTAATGATCCCAACCCCTTTTTTGGTTTTGGTGTGGTTTTTGGTCCGGTTTGCGGCATCTCTTAGATCTCGTTCGGTTCATGAAGACGTCGGTGTTTCGGCGTGTTTCGGCACAAAGGAGTGGGGTGTTCTTTTCTCCGACCTCGCAAAGAACAGCAACAGATAGCAACAGGTTGTTTGATGCCTTTGGCACTTCAACATGGCTTTGATCATCTTTGATCCCTACCAATTTGGGAAGCTTTCCTGGCATATCCGCTTGGGCTGCTCGAGTAACTACCGTACATTCAAAACAAAACAAAACACACACACACATCAAAACAATTCAAAACAAACCATAAACAACACATTTTAGACATGTTTAAACAAATATAAACATGTGGGCTCTCGCTTGCACACCCCAGCTGCAGCCAGTCCAGGTAAATATGTGACAATCTCACGGTCGGAATCTTGAACAGTTCCACTTATACGGGATCATTCACAAGGTGGACTCGCACTCCTGGTTTTGCTGATTTCTCGCCGTGATGTTGATGTTCCCCAATACCTCGGACACAATCCTGGTACAAAACTAGGATATGTTTGATTCTTTTCCCCGGACCAACCAACCAAATCGACTGGTGGACAGAGTTTTGTCTACCAGTCGAAGTCCTTAGAAACACAGGCATGTACAGCTGCAGGGAAGGGTACCAAACTGATCACACCCAGAAGCGGAAGGGGCTCAGACTCCCGAAAAATCCTCAGGTTCGGTGGGGACAGACTACCCCCTACCACTGGCACCCCAACCATCGAACACGATTCACGGAGGGGGCGGCCAGGAGAACTGGTCACACGTCGCTACCTTGCCACCGTCCACCCACCGTCCAAACCCATCCGACGGGCCCTGTGGGAGGTGCGGAAGAAGGAGGACGAGACGGGTGACGACGGGTCGATGGGTGACTTTTGGCCAGATTTTTGCACCTTCCAAATCGAGGTGTTGTGGCAGCTCGTGCGCTCAAGCCGCACCAATAGAGTGTGGCTTGGATCCAGGTCAAGCATGGAGCTTAAAGCTGGCGCGTGAGGTATGACACAGAAAGATGGACTTAAAGCAAGAGGTGATACCTTATAGGCAGTCCAACCAGCAGCAGTCAAAACATTGTTCGACATGTTCGTAGCCCCACAAAGCGATCATCATATCTGCAGTTACGGCTAGTTCGGTCAGGTGCGCCGTAGAATTCTGCGCATGACCTCGTCCCTTATCGGTTTGGGTACGGCGGAGACGACGGATTCGTGGCTTCGGTCCCTCGGTCCCTCGGTCTCCGAAGCGGACCGTCCTGATTCTCCCCAGTCCCACCAACCAGTCGTCCCACGAGACGTCTGGAATGGACATACGAAATACAGTATGAAATACATGGAGGGCATGGGAAGAGGTTTAAAGTTGAAGGCAAATCTGCTTGAAGACTCTTGGTGTTGGCTTTGTATGGTTTTAGTATTCATGGTTTGTCTTTGTTTATGGTTCCATGATGTCGACGGCATTGTCCAAGCTACTCTCATCAATCCAATCCCAAAGCCTTAAGAGGGATCAAGTCGTTCTCATCATCCCTATTCCCAATCATGCGACGCAGGACTGATATGCATCTTAGATAGGATGTGGCAGGATTTGCAAATGTTTCTTATATAGTACTATAGATAGTATTTTCAAGAATTGCTAAGTTGCTTTTCCTGATCATGTCAACCAGATTTGGTCTACAGAAGCATTCCAACGACAGTCCCCTCGTAGCACAATGTCCGTTGCTGTGAAGGGAAGGCATTCTGCATGTTGGCCAAGAGGACTTGCAACACAGAGCTCATCTAAGCTCCATTGATGATGGCAGAGATTGTCACCAGGTTTGCTCCTTGACCTGGACCAGGTAAGTCCATCTAATTAATGATGTCTGCGGGCTTGCACGGCTTGGCCCGCTGGGCCACGGGAAACGTGGCAACCTTTGCGTGCGGATGAACAAGGTGGCGTCGTTCGGTTCAAGATTCAACGGAGGACGGACGGGTGTTCCTGGTGGTTTCACCCAAGCGTTCAGATCGGGATGAAACCCAGACACTCCAATATGGAAGATATGGCTACACCATCCCAAACCACCCGAATGTAGGTATATAAATATCACCACCCACTTCGGGTGGTTATGGAACATCTATGAACATAGATCGTCAGGGAGGGGGGTGTATATACCACCCGAGTGTGTGCGGGGTGGTGCTGGTATGGAGTCTTCGAACAACGGATCGGGACGTAGGTCGGGCAGAGATCGACGGAAGAACAGGGCAGAGACACAACAAATTGGTTGAGACCCGAGACCGAGACCATTCGGTGCAATGCATGCGTCGCCCCAAAAAAAGGTCGACCTGGAGGGTGTCAGAGAGGATAGAGAGGATCGTTCATTTTTCATGTGAAAAACCCTTCAAACTGAAGATGTTTCACCCACTGACTGTTTCTTTGGGCGTTCGTGAGTTGCCCCAAGCAGATCCGAAGGTTTGGGGGGTGTTGACGCAGGCCAGGAGTGTTTGAGAGAGCCACAAACAGGCAAGCACACGGGTTCATGGGTATGCTGAACAAAGACCACCGCCTGCCCCTCCGGGCCACGTGGAATGTGGGCAACGTGGTCTTGCGAAGACGTAAAAGCATGTCTTGGTAGAGATAGGTGCCCGAATCTGTGCTCACTTGGTGGTGTTGTAAGCTCTTGATGAATAATCATAAAAGCAAACAAGTCCCAAACACATGAAGAGTTCAATCAAGAGTCTACATGAACTGAGCAACTGTAAGGAGGGAGAAGTTTTTTTTTTTGTGACGGGCAGTCCTTACGACTGCTTCTCCCTCAGGACGTCGAAGGGCTCACGGTGTGGAGGCTCAGGAGCTCAGGGGTATGAGGGTCAGAGCAGTGACAGCTTGGTTACGCGGCTGGAGGTGCTCCACTGGTGTGTCTCTTTTGACAGTGAAGCACCTCCACTGAACGGATCTCGGTGTGTGAATCTGTCCCCCCTTACAGATAGTATCTGTAAGGGCCTTGGGTGTGGCTAATTTCAATTTCAATGTCATTATATAGTAGTTAAGTTATTCGTTCGCCAACATTTCATGACCTTGGGGACCTACAATTTGTATCAATAATTTGTTAAAATACCAGCACCTTCAAAGGGATCACCAATGGAAGCCCCTCCGCTACTTAGGGATCTCCAGAAAGGACACCCATTGAAGGTATATACATTTTTCATGCATGTCCGGTGGTTGAGACTATTTGTACCTATGTTCTGTCAGTTAGACCGAAGTTCGATGATTTGCGATCGTAGGAGGTAGGAACCTCCAATCGATTCTATGGAGAGGTCGTCGGAAACCCGAAAAGACATGTTGTAGGAGATCTACGTTGAGGATGATGTATTCTGTTTCATGAATAAATCTCTATGGGACCGTTTAAACAATCTACAATTTTACACAGCATAGGTCATCCTCGGAAAGAAGATAAGACAGCTGGAATGCCACTCTATAGAAAAGCTGATTTGGAGCTGTTGAATGGGATGTGTTCAGCCTGGTGTCTTTTGAGGAATCGTGCGCTCATCGGTGCTACCGCAGAATGTATGAAGAAAAACAGCCTCAGGCGGAGAGCACTCGTGACCGACCTCCCGGTCCGATCCCCGCTCCTGCAGACACTGATGCTGCGAAAAAGCCGGAAGAAGTCGCAACAGGAGAACTGAAGGAGACCTTGGTCTGTAAGTCAATCAGTAAGCTAATTAGCATCACTAAACACCATTCAAAGCTGTTCTAGGTGCCAGGTCGTGGGCTTGGTCGTGGGCTTGCAGGATCTTGCAGGTCAACGACTGTTCTTGGTTTTCATGACCCATGGCTGAAGTGTTGCTCTTGCACTCTCAACTGAAGGCACAGCTTGACCGGTTCAGCCGGACCTTGTCTGAGGACCGACCGGCAGAAAGATGGTTTCGGTTGAGGGCCGGTGCTCTCGGTGTGGACAGACTCCTGCCTCCCATGCTGAATTTGGGTTGCTAACTTTACATCGGGGACTCTTCCTATAGGTTGATGTGGGGAACCAGAAATGGATCGCTGATGTGGGAGCAAAAAACCTCAACCACACGTGCGAGCGTAGTGATTGAAGAATATTTGTTTTCCACAGAAGCCGACATTCCATTTGCCAGCAACAACCTGGACCAGTACCTTTACCTACAACATCCCAGCGGCATGGAAAGCAAGTCATTTGCAAGTACCATGGAAGTCCAAAACCACGCCGTGCGTCACTCATGAACACAGGCAGGGATATATCTGAAGTACACCCTCCCATGCCGTATATGAAATAGTTGGCGCTTCACAACCCCAAGCGCCTTGTGAGAAAGCATGTTTGCAGGAATTATGGCTCGGAGCCGACCCCTTCCAACCTTGAGCGTCACGAAGAGTTCCAGCAGAGAAACACGTTAAAACCTCTTAAAGCAGAGAATAGCAGAGATCATGAAGGTACCTAGCACTTCCGTGTGCCCTGGAGTAGGAGACCTGTTTACCTTAGCGTAGGGTAGTCGAACGCCAGGACACCCATGCCCTAGGATGATGCCCTAAGGGTCCAGGACCATCCTGAGGACGTCCTTTGGCCCCAAAGACCACTCTCAGGAAGTACTTTCACTTCCAAGACCATCCTCAGGATGGTCCTGGACCGTGGACCCTTAGGGATGTATCCCAGACAGGTCGTGTCAGGGCTAATCCCCCGCTTTCACCTCGGCCTCTCGCTCGCCCACAGGGTCGAAAGCGCAGGACCAGCGCTTCATGCTTCACAAGGCGCCACGCGCGTGAGGGGAGGGCTGAGGTGTTTGAGGGCCTGAGGGTTGTTGTGCTGGAAGTACGAGCTTTGTGGGGCTTCAGCCTTTGCTGTTTTCTCAGGCTTTGCAAGGGATCTCTCCTTGCGAGCCATGCCGCACTTGTGCAGATTCAGACCGGCTTGCCGCCTTCTGAATGATGTCCCTGCGGGGGGGTTCATCGTTGAATGCCCTGCCCGCACCGACAAGTCATCGTTTCCTGGCACGGTTGATAAACCCCACATCACCACTGTCTCGGAGAAGAGGTCGATGTTTAGCGTGGCTGGTGCCCAGGCACCGTGGCCGAAGGAATCCCAGGCACATGCGCCCACAGCAGGTGGGTTTTTGGAGGACCGAGACCACATTCTGAAACGATCACACCTTTCGGAGATGAGACACAAACATCCTTTGAAAACAAGCGAGGAACACATATCCTCACCCAGACACTCCATGGGACTGCCATATATGCCGATCAGTTGGGGTGGTGGACTGGGGGGGTCTGGCTGGGGCGGCAGTCCTATGGCAGTCCCATGGAGTGACCCGGGTCATCTCCTCGAACTGTACCGACAATTATGATCCAAGAGAGGTTCAGTGACCGTAAATAGGACCCTACTGGAGTACCTATGGGGTAGTCTAGTTCGGGTCCTTAAACCTCTGCTGGATCCTTACGAGGAAATGACCTCGACAGCACACAACTCGATGCATCGGATCCCAAGGCGCCTTCGTCACGCCGGTGGCTCTTGCCGTCGCCTCGATCCTAATCTCGCCGTCTTCTGCGCCAGGTGGCTTTCGTGTGACGGTTTGGTTTGGAAACGGGGTAATGATCGGCGCCTGCGACAACATGCTGCACAACAGCGACCCTTGCAGTGCTGGAGTGCATTTGTGTCCAAGTGACAGCCAGTTTTCTACGTTTGAAACCACGTTGCACTGGTTTGGGTGAGGCAAGCTGGATGGAGGAGCTGGTTTTCGTTGGCCATGTGGGAGATGGACAATGCGGTTTCATTCTTATGATTGCTATATAACCGAGACACCTCATGTATGCCATATATGCCTACATTAGGGTGGCTTGGGGGGGTCAATGTAGGCATATATGGCATACATGGAGAGTCTGGGTTCAAACTGCAAATGTGTAGACAGGCCTGGACCCTCCGACCCTCGGGGTGTCCTGGCTGGACTACCCCACACATCCCCACACTATAGGCTTCCAGACAGGGCACCCCGCGGTGTCGGGTCCTGGGGGGGAACCCCGCCCTTTCATGGTGTAGACAGGGGCCTAGCGGCAGGCGATGCTTCGGGAACGTGTGGGCAAACGCGTGGAGGCGCGCCCGTCCGCGGTTCGCCGGTTTGGCGCTGGTGTTTGAACCACTCCGGGACTGCCATAGGACTGCCGCCCCAGCCAGACCCCCCAGTCCACCACCCCAACTGATCGGCATATATGGCAGTCCCATGGAGTATTTGGGATTTATGCACTTGGCTAACAGGACCCCAAAGGTGCAATTTAAAGAACCGTGAGCAATTCATTGCAGGGGGTTCTCAATGAAATGAATGGATCCTTAGGTTGTCAAAAGCCAAATGCAATCTAAGTCCACTAATCATTACTAGACATACGTCATTGGGCCTCAACACCGCCAATCCTTTGTTTTCGAACCCTCCCATTTTGGACTATACTGTAAGCAAAGGAATGGCATGTAGACAGAAACCACACATCCAATCGCAACAAGTGCTTGATCATGCCTGATCGGATGACATCTTATTTTCCCTCATATGGGCAAATCCAGAATAGATAGACCCTCCATCCAAACATGGAAGTTGAACATGGCCCCACGAACATGACAGCTCTTCCTCTACGAACAGGCTGTGCTTCCACTTCCATGAGTGTTTCAGGGAGGGTATGTGTCGTTGCCCCGCTTCCTGGGAGTGGCGCGCCGCGGCGCGGCGAGACCTGCATTCGAAGTATGTATGGCCAAGACCGAAAAACGACCGTTGCCGAAAAAACCATATAGTACTAGGTTGAAGGTTGAAGGATGGTTTTAACGAGTTAGACTGCTAGCATCTCCGTTTGGAAACGTGTTTGAAGGTGGTTGGGAAAGAGTCGTGGGAATTGGGAGGTCCTATGCGGTGCCAACTTGATAGGCTCATTCCGCCCCACAGCACGGTGTGATTGGCTCTGGTTCCATCCAGAGCTCGGTGGGAGAGGCGACCCGAACGGGTCTCAACCGCCACCGACCAGCAGTTCCGGGGTGCTCAATCGCTAGGGATCCAGTCGTACCTTCTCAGGTATGTGGATTTGTAGGGAATGGAGGATAGGGGGGGGCCAGGATCCACTTCCTTTAGGGTCCAAAAAAAAGCCACCCCGACATCGAACTCCTGGTGCATGTTGCTTCGGTCCAAGTTGCCCTAGTGGTGAGGGTCAAAATACTCTCTAGCTAGCTAACTGAGGGTCCTTTCTGAGCCGAATTGGATACAGATGGGGAGTTGTTTTCGAAGAATATGATCAAAACGACCATATCAACTGCTGAGACGGAGACTGACGGAAGATGGACGTGCTGTTGCGAACGGGCGGCTGCAGCGGCTGCAGGTTTGGTGAGGGAACGGTTTTGTTTTGCCATTGTTTGCCCTAGTTGAGAAGATCCGAACATCAACCTGTACGATCTATACGCAGTCAGTGGATGTCATCTACAAGTTGCGGGGGATTGGGGACACTCCACTCACATCCGACAGGTGGAAAAAGGTTATAAATTAAACCATTTGTGTCCAGGGAAACAGCTCCCGGTGTGAGTCAAGAGACTTGGTCACGGCGTTTGCTTTAGATCTTGGATCCGCAGGTCACGCTGCCATTTCGGCCGCAGGTTCCGGCAGGCGCTTGCACGCTGCCGAGGACAAAAATTGAAAGGACAATCCCATGGGCCCAGATGTTTAGTAGATACTCTATAGGGATCCAAATAACCTCTCACAAGGTACGACTGGACCCTCCTGGCGCCTACATAAAGGTGTCGAATGCATTGGCCCCAGATGGAAGAGGACTCCGCAGGAGTGAGACCCTCCACATCAAACGTCCCGACTCTTCAAACCCTTTCCATCCAATTCCATCCATTCTTTCCATCCCGGATTCTTCAAAAAAAAAAAGACAAGAGTATTTACGGCTTTCCCTTCCCAGCTTCCTGCCACGCCTCGAAGTCGATCCCAACTTGGACTGTGGGACGGGCCCGATGCACAGCATGGACGAATCGCCGCTCTCTCGCTTTGCTTCCAGCCTCTCGCCCAGCTCCACGCGCTTCGCCAGTCACTCGGACCGTCGAGACATGTCGAGACCGACCGTCTCCGTCTCGTCTCATCGTCGCGCTTCGACCCCAACCGAGCTCGACCCGAGCTCGACCCGTCATCGACCCGAAGGACCCCGAAAGCCACGGTGAAAAACACACGAATCGTTACGTCAGTGAACTCAGGGTGCTTTTCTGTTCGCCCTTGGGGAGGACAAGGGGACCATCCAGGCAACGAGCCAGTTCGGGGGAAGAGGACAGATCCAGGAAGATAAAGAAGTTACCAGTTCAAAGCTTCCTTTGTTCCAGCCAAATCTACATCGTGCTTGGGACCGAGCAGGCAGGTGCCGTGGACGGTCAGCCATTGCGCGGTTACCAGGATTAAGGGGTAACCACTGACCTGCCATGACGCACGGCCAACAATTACACGAGGCTCGGAACCAAACGATGTAGTGCCCTCAACCCTTTGCTCAAAGCTGTCTTTCCCAGATCATGGACACCCCGAATCACCTGGGCGCCCTCGGGGCTCATGGACACTTGAAATCCGTGGTCCAAGCTGCAGCTTCACCGATCTGCTTCTCATGTCGCCGTCCGCCGATCTGCCGTCGTCGGACGGTTCTGAATCTTCGCTGGGGCCATGCGGATCTGACGGTTCGTCATGGGTCCGGCTCGGAGGAGGCTATTTGCCTGGCTCGGAGGAGTCCTTGATGCTTTCACATGGTTTGACCCCACCGAACATCGAGATGGAATGAGATGGATCATTAAGTATAACAGTGTTTTGGTCCATGGTAAATCCAGAAGAAATGCCGAACATGATCGCATCGCATCAACCTTCACGAACCTCCAACCGATGAGTTCTGTTCGACCGCAGGGCCGAGTGGTCGGACCGGACGTCCGCGCCAGGTGATCATGGAGTGGTGCGGGAGTTCCCAATGTACACCCTGCCGGTGGAGACCGTGTTGCAGCTCAAAAAGTTGCTCCCACACGAGGAGAGGAGGGTTGATTGTTTGCTTGATGTATACCCCCTCAAGACTCTTGGCTCAATTCAATTATTGGCGATTGCCCAAATTGCGGGGTATTGGAGCCATGAGGTCTGGGAGGGTGTAATTTGTAGCGAGGTTTCAGTGACAGACCGATCATTTACTTCAAGAACCCTAAAGTTTACGCTTCTTACTCTGTTCCAACATGACACTTGCGGTCTACAGCGGATCGGATTGACACGTCCATTTTGCCTGGCAGGTACAGCACGGTCAGATTTCCACACCCGTTTACGGCTTTCAGGTGTGGAAATCTGACCGCAACTTAGGCGTCGACATATGTTGCACGTAGGACTCTAAGGGGAAAGGTGTTGTCCTGTAGAAGTTAAGAAGCACCACTTTCGGCACCCCAGTGTATATTATGGATGGCAATTCAATTCCTAAGTGCGAGTGTCAGAATGCAGATCATCTTTTACATGACAAGATTCCCTAGGGATCCAAGTACCTTCTCAGCAGGTGATGTGTTCGACGCCGCTATGTAGGTGCCAGGAGGGTCCAATCACCTGCTGAGGGATTGTGGATGCCTCAAAACCGTTTGGGGCGGCCGGACGATCGGACCGGGCCTGAAAGAGGAGACGTTCCAGGTGCCACATGCAGAGTGCTTCCATGTGGTTCCCTTTTTTGGGCGGAGAGGACGAGCCTCCAGAAAAATCGAAACTCATGACTGTCCGACGTTTGTCGTCCACTTCCCAGCACTTGGACTCCCGGAGACACGACCTCGCCAGGAGGCTTGGGAGCTGGAGAGCCCACTGAAGCCGCTGCAAGCCTTTCGTGAAGAGATGGGTCGAGCGATCTTCGTGTCGCACCAGTGGTTGAGCGCCAAGCATCCCGATCCTCACAGACGCTTGGAGCATTTCCGAGAAAGCGGTTGGTGAAGTTGGTGCAGTTTTCGGTGCGTTTTCTTTTTGTGGGGGTTGGTTGGTGCTAGCTAAGCAGTGGTTTGGACATGGACAGTATCAGATGTATCAGCTGTTTGGTACAATTACAAGTGTCCGGTGAAATCACGCGCCGTTCTTTAGTCGGGATATGTCGGGATCTTTTTTGCGTTTTTTGGCTCGTTGGCAAGATGTTCGCAAGTCTTCCTTGTAATTCCATGCCAGAGGCATGGATCAGTATATGGATTAGTGCATGCAAAATCCTTAGAACAATGCATTGTTCGGGATGCAGACTATCATAGACTATCCATATGGTGAGCCAGGTAGTAGTAGCGTCGGCGTAGGCGTATTTCCTTTGCGTTGGACGTAACGTCGTGTAGGACATTCCATGTGGGTCTCCCCTGGTGGAACACAGTCCTACGCGACGTTGGATCCTTTGGGAGCGATGTTTGGTTCTAGGTGGAAACTGGTCTGTTCGTCCGGTTGGTGAAACAGTTCCAATTCCATGAAAAAGCGGCACTAAGCGGCAGGCGTTTCTGGACTCTAAGTTGTGTGGGGTGAGAAGTCTGGACATGTGTGGTAAGGCTTCAGGGTGGCGGAAGGCTTCAGTGTGTCCCTTTGACAGGAAGACTTCAAAAACTAAGAGAGCCAAGAGCAAGAGCCTTCAAGATCTGTTTTGAGGGACCCGACCTGACCGCGGGAGGGGACTTTCGGGCATCAAATTGGCACTCCCAGCCACCACTGCCGTGCCACTGCCCCCTCCTTTTTCAGGTGGGGTTCTCAACATGCAAGTAAGCAGGGTCAGATGGGTCAGAGAGGGACCATTGGACCGAGTCAGAGGTTTCAATTCTCCGAAGTTGGCAGCAATATGTTCGGAGGTGAACTACTCCTTGTTGCTATACTTCAAAAGGGATAAAAAAGGTGCTTTGGACAACGCTGCCAGTGCCATCCCCTGCCCTGTTTTTACTACTCACTCCCTCAAAAGGGCTCCTTCGTCCTCGGCCTCCTTCCTGTCCGTTCGATGTCTTCGGCCATCGTGCCAAGGTGAACAGCTGCGGATCTTGCAGGCCACGCTTGGAAACCTCTTGTCAGGTGCGGAGGATTTTTCAAGACACACAACATCCAAGAAGAAAAACACCGAAACTCACATCAAACTGGTGCTGGTGCCAAAAAAAAGCGGATCCGGGTCGGTGCATCACTATCGTGAAGCCGAGTGACAAAAATTAACACACCTGGAAGCTTCTGTGCCGCACCTCCCCCTTCAGCCCACGAATGCCAGGCGCTGCACGGGTGTCGCTACAGCCGCTGGTGGAGCTGGCCAGGGGCCGCGGCGGGTGCCCTTCCACCACCCACTTCGCGTGCCAGCCGCTCTTTGCCGCTCGGTGGTGTGAGGCCGGTGCCGGTGGTTCTTCCGAAATCACGCTGGACTGGAGACAGCGAGCGTGGGTTGAAGCAGCGTGTGGTGCGAGGGCGCAAGGAGATTTGATCTTATCATTATCTTGACAAGTGGTTGACGGTTTCAAGACTGCAGGAAGCAAGTGGGAAACGGTGGGAGAAAACTGGGATGAGGAGGTTGGGAAAAGCGAGTCCATAATGGCAATGGGTGTTTACCATGACTGCCTTCGGTGGTGCAGGATTTGTCAGAAGTTCGCTGTTGCCATGGACCGTCTCACGGTCAATGCCATGAGACGTTTGGACATGCGACCGTTGTTGTACGGATCAGGTTTGGTTAATTGTGTTTGTATGTGTTTTCATAATTCGTCATATATATGAATTTTGTTTTGTGTATAAAGCACACACTTTAGTTTAATGTTTGCTTCTTTTGCCTTCTGTTTGGTCAATCCGATCTTTTTTTGATGGTGTTTTCAAGTCTTTCATGCTCCGGTCCTTTGGGTCATGGTCAAGTCTTTGAGGCTGGCGCGCTGGTCTCCGCTATAGATTTATTCTTTTTTGAGCACCCCGTGACCAGAAAGTCTGTGTTTTTGATGGATCGGGTGTCGTTGTTGGTATTATGTGGTATTGGTTCCCTAAGTTGGCCATATAAACTCCATATATATTACTATAGGTGAAGTGTGTTTGGTTGCTTCCATCCAGTTCGTCCAAGACATCGAGGAAGACGAATTCGGCTCCTTCGAGGTGAACGGATCGAACGGATCGGTTCACCGGTGAACGGAGGTTTGTCCCGAAACTGGTTGATCAATGGGGGGGGGGGGGGAATACCCAGTGAACAACCAAGTCCTGGGGATCAGAGGGGGTCTCACATACAGGCCAAGAGGGGCCTTCCCAAAGGGACATGAATTGAGGTATACGGATTATGAGAATCCGGAAGCCATGACTCTCAGCTTGAGTTCAACGATGTAGACTGTAGAATTTCCAGGATTCCAAACACTATTGATTGAATAGCCTGAATCCTGAACAACCATTGCTATAATTACTAAGGATTTTCGGATTTAGACTGCATTACCAGGTCAAATGACATCTTTTTAAAGGTCGAATGGAAGGCTTAGACATATAAGTGAGAAAACATGAGAAAACATATAAGAAAAGCACTTGCCTAAGTGAGAAAACATATAAGAAAAGGCCCTTGCCGTCTCGGCATATCCTCTTCCGCCGTCTCAGTCTCGGATCCGAACTCGGTGGTCTCCCAGGTTTGGTATGACTTCTTCTCTTGTCCTCAAGGCCTTGGAGGAAGTGGGACGGATGAGTCACAGAGCTCGTGTCATGCGGTCATCTAGTTTCTGCAGATTTGCAGGCAGAGGATCCAGATTTGTTCACCTCGGCAGAAACTATAGAAGCCCTTGCTGTCCTCCTTGCCCACCCAGCAAGTGGTCAACCTGCCAACCATGCCAAACCTTTCTCGAGACCTTCCTTGAGATCTATAGGTTGATCCGGTTTGGCCTTTTGAACATTTGTTCAGGTGCAACTGGTACAACCCCCAATAAAACAACATATTAAATACATAATATATAATATATAACATGTTGCTTCCCTCCCTTCATCAAACGCTTAGGAACCCGTCCGCCCGGTCGATGCCCCCGGACGCGCGGTCCACCGGCCACAAGGTAGCTCGGAGGCTGCGAGGGCCCATCGGCATTTGGCCATCTCTTCCATTCCTTCCTATGTGTCTTGTTGTTGTTTTGGTGTCGGTGATGAGGCCATTGTGTCGGTGATGTTTGGCCAGGAATTGGACTGAGTTTGGATTAAACAAGGTTTGAGACGTCGGTTCCAAGAGTTTTGGTGGGTTTAAGTGAGAGAGGAATTGGTTGGACAAATGATGTTTGTTAAATAGAGTTTCATATGTTCTTTAGATTTATATATGAACAACTTTTGATTTTAAAAAGACAAGTTTTATGAACAGTGGCATGACATTTTTTATGATGTCAGTGCTGTTTGTACATTTTACGATATTTTTCTTGACGCCGGACTTATGTTGTTTTTTCAAGTCATGAAAATCTATGTTTCTATAAAATCCAGCGTAAGTGTCGTAAAATTTCATTTTAAAACGAATCTATGTTGAGGTGGTTTCCGCCAACTTGCTGGATGTCAAGTGTAGATGCTTTAAACTTTAAAGCTTCATTTTGGGAGTTTCATCTCTCTCATGAGAACCTCTAAGGCTACCCGATGCTTCTGTTCTTTTGCAGGGTACCCGATGCTTCTGTTCTTTTGGAGGGTATGATCGCATGCAGAGCTTCTTGACTGAGACACCAAATGACTTGGGAATACAACGCTTTTGGTCCAGATGCATCACTGTGACCTGCAGAGTCTAAGCTCACTTCCCACAGACCTGGAACTTCTGGGCGTAGTAATCGATTGAAAGTTCGACCGTTGCTCCGTTTGCGCATGCTTTTGAGGCATGGATCCTGCAAACCCTTGGAAATGCCTCAACATTTCAATCTGCAGTTGGGAAGGATCTGAAAAACATTCTTCATGCACATATTGTTTCGACTCCAGAACATGTTCATTTCAACCGTTTCAATTGACTCTTTGATTTTCGATACGTCCTTTTCGACCTCTCCGCTTTGAAACTCGTCGACCCGTCTTCGTCTCCCCGAAAAGCGAAGACGACTCCCGTGGCGACCTGCGTCCTTCGTTGCGGCACGCGAGACGTGGCGACCGTGCAACGAGGTGGCACGGTCCTTCTTCTTCATGATCCTTTGTCCTCCCCTGCGGCACCAGGAGCCGAAGCCCAGGGGAGAGGGTGTGTGACTCCCAAACAGGGGAGAAGGATGCGAACTGGGGTTTAAAGGACGTTGCCCCAGCAAAAGTGAACATTCCTCCAGCGCAGGTGCGGAATTGTTTTGTCAGTATAACAGGTTCATCATCCCTTTTTGATTTGTGTTTACCTCTCGCAATCTCTAATTGATGTGCATCTGAGCAAATTGGAGGAGCAATGCAAAAGAAACTGTTGTTTGTTCCCACAACTAGCTGAGTCCCTTTTCTTGTCCATTTTGTGTTGGCTTGCTCTTAAGGGTCAGACTCAGGGTTATCATCACAGTGATCATGTTTGCGCTACTGAATTATCAATGTTCAAGAACTGTTCAAGGCAATGCCGCCTGTCAGAAGGACAATAAACCCGAAGAGCCCCGGGCTGGGTGGAAGATCCATTGTGTTGATTTCTTGATATTTCGGCGGTTGGGTTCACAGCGACCGAGTTCCACCGGAGGAGCAGCGGCAGATGCTGAACTACTCCACCTGGGCCACGCGCGGCTGGTGTCGCCTGGAACGCCTCGCGCGCGAGTTGGCGCGCCGCGAGGACGGCTACATCCTCATCGCCGACGCTCGGTCAACGCTCCACATGGGTGTCGGGGGGGCGCCCTGCGATCGCGCACAGAAACTGCGCGTTCTTTCGGGGGGGCCCCAAGGGTCGGGCTGGGCAGTGGCACAGCGTTTTGGTCAAAATGTGAGAGATCGTGAGGGATTTGTGAATGCCCTGGCTTTGCAAGACCATGAACAGAAGGGTTGACCTGGTTGTTGCAGTCTAAAATTTGACAATAACCTAAGGACCTATATACGGACGATTAGGTACATCGTGGGCTATAGGACTCCGGCTATAATGACCTCTCTATATATTTGACCAGCTTCCATCTGAATCAACCTGTGGTAGCTCCATCACGGCAGCACTGAGGAAAGCCCCTATCACATCTTCCTAGAGTGGCAACCCAATGCACAGGCCAAGGCGCCCGGCAGCGGGCAATTTAGTGTGGAGGCAGATCGAGCCAGGGCATCTCGGCTTGGCACAACATAGACCCGTGACAGCCGCAGCAGGGCGCAAACCCTGGGTAGCTGGGAAGATCTATCAGAAGATGTCGCGGAGTTTTCGTTTCACGCTTCTTCAAGGAGTTGACATTGCGGAATTTCCGTGTACAATCTACCTGCGGCCAAAGAACCATGGTAATTAAAGATATTTAAGTTTGATGGTTTGATGGTAATTAACTCCATCAAAAACAACTCATTTGTTGAGATCTCATGTAGTACACCGACCTGGAAATCTCCGGAAGGACCGGTCTTCACCGGAAGGGAAGCTGTTGGGGTTGGTGTGCATGTCGCTGGTGGCCCAGGTTGGGAAGCTGCTGCTGAAGATGGTACCGAGATGCGAAAAAGAGGGATGAGAAAGGATGAAAAGAGGGATCAGATCGAAAGAGATCAGAAGAGTTTGATTGAACCACTTTTGGGGATGATCATCCGTTTGGTTTCGGAGGACGCCTGACAACCATGGGCGGTGTCGACAAGCTGTTACGTTGCTTCGCTGAGGTTGTTGGGCAAAACGGATGTCTATATAAGTGGTTCACTCTTCTCAAGTGGTTGAAGATGATAATGTGTCCAATCTAATGAGCATACATGCGAGTATACCAGTCTAGTATTACTATGAGTTTTGGCTGGGGTACCAACACGACTATGTTCGACTCCCAGAAAGGTGCCTGGCTGCGAAGTGGTTCTTTATTTCAGATCCATGCTGCAAAGTGTTGTTTTTGTTAATATGTGTAAAAAAATGAATCAGGGTTGGCATTGTCATGAAAAGCCGAGTGCAGATCGCCGATCAGTGGATTGAAGCGCAGCTCGCGGCACAGCAACACGACAGATGGGTGTGGGTGAGTCTTTCACGTTGGTCTTTCCATTAGCATTCTGAAAGGGGTTCTTTCATCGACTGATCAGAGTATCATATGACATCATATGAGATGAGTTCATTCAAGATGAAGGGGCTGGTTTGGCCCAAATCTGCTGGCCTCTGGAGGTTTGTTGTCGAATTCTAGATTCGCTGGCTTTCAACTTTCCCGCACCGATGCTTTGTTTGCTGGTTTTTGGAACATCTGAGGTCTGGAGCAAGTTGCTGTACTATCTCGAACCTTGGGATGTACATGAACAGGAGACGTTGGACGAATGTTGACTTGAAGGTTTGAAGAGTTCGACACACCACGAGCACCACGAGCAGGGGAGAGTTGAGGGAAAGAAGAGCCGCAATATGACCAGGGAGTTGGGAGTGTGAACTTGGTGGTGACAGCAGTGGAGTATTCTTCCAACAACGGTGACTACCCAGACACATTGGGATAGAATCCGGCCTCGCAATGTTGATCCTCTCAGGTTCAATGGATTTTGCAGATTCGGATCAGGGTCTGGATTGAAACATGAACCTCAGCAAGGAGCCAATACATGCTAATACCATCCACCCAACCCAAACCAACACTTGTTCAACGGATCCCAACCGCCCCAGCCCCATCCAGCCGCCCCTGGCCCAATGTCAGACTGGGAGAATCTCTGAGAACTCACCCTTGCCCCACGCCCTTGCCCCGAGCGATTCCGCTCGGCGCCGCCCCTGGGAGAATCGGAACTCTCTCCGAGGAACGGGGCGAGTTCAACAGCTATCGCTTCCAGCTGAACCTGCAGCGCGTGGGCTGCCTGGAAGGCTTGGAGATGCAGCCCATCGAAGGCACGGCGCCGACGGTCCTCGTCCGATCGGTCTGCGCTTTCGGAAAGGGAGGGAAGAAGGACGGAGTTCAGGCTCGGGACGAACGCGAACAGAGAGATGAAATGAATCAACCGATTCCTCAATTCATGGTACCGATTGTACCAACCTCGATTTGGGGGTTCTTGATGAATCAATTCGCTCCGTTTAGGCCGCTCCGGCTCGTCGAACAACAATCAACTTGGATCTGGCGTTGACATGCGTTGACCATCATGGTCCAAGTCGCCATGGCTGCACCGGAAGATCATGGCTGCCCGGAGGAGGGCCAAAGCCAAAGACGTGTGGAGTACCCTATGCATATAAATACATAATACTATCCATGACCCAGGTTGGCTCAGGTTGGCTCAATGAAACCTGGATTGCTGTCTCCGAAAGGGCCCGAGACCAAACAAGCAAGCCAACCCGTCGACACTCCGGACTCGAGGTGGTCGACCTGGGGTCAATGGGTCGGCACAGAACTTCCGGTCCCATGGGAAACCAGCCAACCAACACAGTTTGGAGAGGGCTCGTAAGCTGTCTTTGTTGGGCACTGACTCGTGCGCGCGCGAAGGTTGATCTTGGATCCTTCGACTTGACTAGAGGAGAAGTAGGGTCTAGGTCAACACGTTTTCTCCAGCGGTCTCCCGATCCAAAAGCAACGGATCGCTGCCCGAAAGCGACAGTGCAGGGCCGAAAAAGCGTCACGAAGTCCACTGGAATTTGAGTTGGATTGTTGGACTCATCAATCCCATGTGGATTTGAAGGTGCTCTGCCCCCCAAAAAGCCCCAAAACCCAAGGCCAGTCCTTAGGTGGAATGCCATCGTTCAGTCCGTGAGGCCTGGTACCCAACTTCAGTACCGACATCGACCCAGAAGCAGAGCCTGAAAGGTGTCTACACCCGGACGTTGGGCGTCGGAGAGAGCCGAAGATGTGTCCAACCCAACCTTGAAACCCATCGGATCCATGGCGTTGTTTCACCAATCCCTGGACCACAGACTGGAGATCTCGGGTGGAGATCCTGGGTGTCCGCAGTAGGCTGGGTTTTTGATCACCAATCCCTGGAGACAGACAGACTCAGCCCATTGGAGGTGGTTGTCTTGGGGGTCTCGGATTGACTGTCAGATCTGGTGAACTGAGGTTTGCGTTTGGGCGGCTCCGGAATGCGTCGACGGGTAGATAGTTTTGGGGATGTTGTCTTTTTGAGTGAGCTACAGTCTAACAAGGAGAGACTAGACCTCATGAAATTCTCCAACAACCAAAACCTGTATTGTTTTTCGAGGGTCTGTTTTTGACCTGCCAGATGCTGCAGGCCGTGTACGTATACCGAGATCTGTTGGCTGCTGAAATTGAAATAGCCAAAACGTGGGCGAAACTGCACCCCAAGAAGAGTCTATAGTCACCACCGCCATTTCTTTGGCATTCTTATAGCCACACGTTGTGCACGTCTAGAGTCTAGAGTGGCAATATACTTCAAGAACCCTAAAGTTTATGCTTCTTACTCTGTTCCAACATGACACTTGCGGGCTACAGCGGATCGGATTGACACGTCGATTTTGCCTGGCAGGTACAGCACGGTCAGATTTCCACACCCGTTTAAATTTATAATACTTAGAAGGCTTTCAGGTGTGGAAATCTGACCGCAACTTAGGTGTCGACATGTTGCACGTAGGATTCTAAGGGGCAAGGGTTTGTCCCGTTTTAGAAGTCAAGAAGCGCAACTTTTGGCACCCCAGTGTATGCCTTCAGAGAAGACTCCCAAAGCCCCCCAGCCCACACCCGGGCTCACCGCGAACGCATCGCAGCTGCCCCACCCTGCGCTGCATGTTCAATCTGTTCGCCGAATCAGGCCTAGCGGCTGAATCATCACAACTCAGGCAACTGGCAACTGACCAAGTCCTACCCCAAACCAAATCATTCGAAATCGGGGAGACATTTTGGCATGACGTGGTCGATCTGTTCGCCTGCCGGCTCTTGAGGTTCGTCGTGGCCCGGTTCCTGCACGACAACGGCTTTATTGGGATCCGACACCGAGACACTGCTGGCTGGACACCAATTTGCTACGCCGCCGTGAATGGGAATTGTTTCCTGAGCCTTGGATTTTTGAGAGCCATCGCTGGAAGGCATCAACAGAAAGGGACTACAGTGACTACAGTCTAAAGGGATCTAAAAGGCATCATGTTGAGATATTTTGAGATATCTTGAGTGCCCTCCCGACTTTGCCCCACACCAAAGAAAGGGACAAGTCAAAGTGACTCAAAGGAATCAAATCAACTTGAAAGGGCGATTTTGACACGTGACCTAGATCACTTTGTACCCTACCCTGAGAATCCGGGCCATCAAACACATGCGGTTTGGTTCGCGTCTGACCCCTGCCATGAAGGGCCCAAGGATTCGGCATAGATGGGCATGGTGTTTTCTTCTTTTTACTTATTTGTTCAACGTTGTTTTTGCTTTGTACACCCACATGTGCTTCAACATGTCATCACAGACACACTTAGATCCATGCTCGCAAGAGCTTTATCAGTTTGGACATCCCCGTGAGGTAGTGACTGATTACATTAGACCTTGACTCGCAGGAACAGCAGGGTGGAGGGTCAGCTCACTTGTATTGTGTTCACCAAACGCATTAGCGCTTTACTGCAATAGCCCTTTACGTGAAGAGGAAAGTGACAGCGTGTGCAACAGTTGAAAACCGGCAATGCTTAAAAGTTGATTGCAGGTACGTTTTCAGTGTCCATGGGCCGGCCCCCTGCATACTGTACAAGTGTGGTCATTCCTTTGAAAAAGGTGACACATTGGGGGGTGGGGTGGGGGAATGATGTTCATGTAGTAATGTAATCCGGTCCACCGTCCACCTATTAAAAAAATGCGCCCGGTCGCATTTTTTCTAATAGGGGGTCCAGGGTCACCGGGAAAGAGTTTCAAAACCATCAAGTAATCCAATAAAATTTTTATATAAAATCATTTATTACACTGGTATCAAGAATGCAAAAAACCTCCAGATCGAAGGGTCTTCCTTTTCCCCTACAAAAACCTTCATTATAGTGGTTCTTCAGTAGACTAACAGCTAAAGCTTTCGAAAGGTGATGTCGCTGTGCCACGCGGTGTTGCATGACCTCGGTGGCAAGTGCGTTTGCGTGAGTCCGTGCCATTGGGGGAAGGAAAGCCTGCTGGTGTAAGCGCGGCACGTCATGGTGGATAGACAGGGCGGACAGAGGTGGGCAGTTACGGTTGTTTTTGGAACCTAATAAGAAAAACCCCTCCAAAATCGGCCATGTTGGTAGCTTAGTAGCGGCTTGAAAGGGCGGTAATTTAAAAACAAATATAAGCCGTATTTAGGGGGATCCGACATGACTTTTTTTAACTGGGGTCCGTTTTTAAATAGGTACTCGGGATTAATGATGTTATGGCTTTTGGATGGTTGCGTTATGATTCTGGACGGTTTCAGCAATTAAGGTTCCACAGGTTTGCGTTGTGGTTTGATCCTCGATAGGTATCACACTGCAGTTTGTTCTATTCGTGGAGGAGTAGATTCTGGACGGTGTCAGTAATCAGTAAGGTTTCCTCTGTTTCTGTTGGGCGTCGATCCGCGAGAAGCATCGCACTGCAGTTATTGTTCGGTTCACATAGGGTATATAGAGACGCAACTCCATGAAGGAGTTGTGTTTGAGCAGTTTGGTTTCCCTTTGTTTAGTGTTGCTGTTGAGACTTTCAGATACAGACAATTCAATTGGTTTTCGTTTCCGGACCCGCTGAAAGAGTAGTTGATGTTAATTAAATATATATATATATATATCTACCTGGATTCTTTGGTTTGTCTAGGACTTCGGTATACTAGCAGATCTTAGGACGTGACTGTTTGAAGATTGTGTTGGACCCTGACCGTTTCTACCTTGACTTCTCATGTTTACTGCACTTTACCGACATGTTGTTTCTATCTTGGTTGTGTGTTTGGGATGAATATGCTGCAACGAAAATGTTTCCAACAGAAACAAGCTTGAACTTCATCAAATCCAGGGAGCGCGACGCTTCGAGACAGATGCATGAACGTGAGCAGATGCTTTTTTTTTGAATTCTGTCTTGAGTTTTATGGACCTGAAAGAACCATACCATAATATGGATATCAAAGACTCTATTGAATAGATATAGAACCATTTTCTTTAATATAGAGTAGCGGCCTTGCGCGTAGAATATTATTCATGAAATCGGAAACTCAAAGATGCGCACGCCAAAGGGGTTGGTGGAAAATCAGGCGCAAAAAGGACACCAGGATGCAGATAGAATATTGATAATATTCCGATGTGACACTGATGAAGGACCATTAATCCCGACCCGTAACATCGAGATTGTGAGGGAAAAGGCTGCTTGTTCATCCAGAGGCTTACCGTGCGACATTCTAACTGCAAAATATTCCAATTTCAATAATTTCACAGCCACCCTTCTGTGATTTTGAATATTCTAGCTGCATGTATTTAATTTTGGATTATTCCAACTGCTAGCCCGCCACGACATACATATATATATATTTATACATTTGCAAGTTTCCACCACAAGACAAGGATTAACCAACATCCACAGTCCGTTAGGAAAAAGAGTCTTTCTTTCGCACGAAATGCGCATTCCGTTGAGCCTGCAGAATAGCTCGCCACACCACTTGCGTGCATGGGATATTCAAGGATGAGAAGCTCTCCGTTGACGCAACCAACGAATTGGAAACTTTAGAGTGCAAATCCAGTATGTCAGCCTGGAGACGTACGCGGCACTTCGTTTGCGTGACTCTTTCCTGCAATGTCTTCACGCAAGGCCTTGGCCTTTCAACTGCACGCATATACGCACCTTGCCCAGCCTTTCCACAGGCATGGTGCGAATGCCCTGGGTGACTTTGTCTGCCGGAGCATTGACCCGCACTTGGCGACCCGCGCGGCCAGCGGGAACGCGTATGCAGGTGCAGTGCGGTATGGCCACTTCTACGTGGTGGTGGACAAGAAGGGTTCGATGAAGAGCTGGAGCGCCGGAGCGCGACCGCCGGCCTTTCAAGGCATTTGCTGTGGAAGGCTGGCGGCTGGACAACCTCTTAAAAGCCGGCAAGCCACTCACGCGTGGCACCTATACCTGGCCTGGGCAGCTAAGGTGACCGTGGGCTTTGCCAAGCGCTTGCAGCACTGCAAGGCCACAGAGCGGTTCGAGCAGGACGCAGCGCTAGAAGTGTCGCTCGCTACGCCTCTGCATCACTGCCCGAGCTTCAACCAAGCCCTGGCGGTGCTGTGGCTCCAGCGCTTGGGGTGCCGTGGCCTCAGAACTGGTACCTGTGTAGCGCAAATAGATGTAGTGCAGGAAGCAGTTTCTCGGAGTTGGTGTCAGGTGTCACTCTGCCATGCGGTTTTGCGCGACCGGTGGATCGTGCGTTTGCCAAGCCATCGGGTATGTCGGTGTAAACGCACCGTTGTTTGCTGTCACGCATGTCTTGTCACCGCTCGCAAGCCATTCGTCGTCTATAGTTGTTTTGATCCTGAATGAAACCAAAGTCAAGCTTCTGGAAGGAAGGGTTTCCTGCCTTGATGTGCGCTTTTGTTTTCATGCTTCCTCGTTACATTTCCATCACGGACCTAGAAGTAAAGGTTTTCATTGACGCCAAGAGCCACATTTCCCTTCACAATTTCTTACTCTTTGTCCAGTGCTACGACCGGAGGAGCACCCCAGTCCGGTTTTGAAAGACTTTGCATGTAGAAAATGTACGTGGTTTGGTGTCCAATTACCAAGCGCCTTTAACGAGATAGCAACCTAGATCCGAGATGCCCTTGGGAGATTTGAGTTTTGGTGTCATGTGAAACTCTACTGGAACAAGAACTGTTTCCGATTTATCCAGTTTTTAGCAGTTTCTTCCTGACTTGACGGCAGGCAGACGCTAGGTTGTCATATCAAAACCTGCTGACCTGGGCTGGGCTTTTCATAGGTTGATTTCTGCCCGGGACATGTGCGTCGTGAAGTTGCGGCAGCGCGCGGCATGTGTGTAGTCAGGCAATAGAACCTTTTGCGGTCTCCCAGCCGGCCAGAGTGAAGCTAGTATAGGCACACCCTCCCAGCCAAAACGTACGCATTCCGACTGCGACCGGCTTTCTCCTGGCATCGCCGGTGGGAGCCGGACTTCCGCGGCAACACCTTTTGACTGGTGATGACGATTCTTCTTGTTTCTTCAACGCCTCCAGTGGCACGCCAACAGACAAACACATCAAGTGGTCACAGGCTTTGCTGCAGATGCAAGTGGAGACGCTGAAAAAATGGACAAATGTTGTAATTATCTTTGTTAATATGAGAGATTCTCCCCTCCCCTCATCTAAACAAATGGGAGGCTTGTAATAAACCACCAACAAAACACATCTGGGTTCCTGGCTCTGGCAGGATTCCTTTTAAGCAATTGATAGTCGTATTCGTTTTCGTTTGTCAGTTCATAGAATATAGTTATTCATGTCCATTCTCATCCGGAGGCTGATTGAAATTAGATTTTCTCACCAATCTAGTGTGGCAGAAAACTAGAGAATTAGAGAAACCTACAACCACCGACAATACTCTCAGCAAGCCAGCCTGTGGCTTAGTAGTACTAAGATTTACTATTCTATTTAGTTTTTGGTCAGGAAGAAGCATTTCACCATTGAGAACCCTTAAAGCCTATTATTGAGAATCTGTGGCCTTCCTGGTCTACTACCTTAAATTTGTTTAGGAGCAATCTTCGCACAAAGGACTGATTAAGGAATTGGTGGCTTTGGGAAGCTGCCAGTTTGGAAGAAGCACGCGAGAAATCTACAAATACCAAGAATATCCTCAGCAAGCCAGCCACTGGCTTTGTAGTCTTAATATTGTTTTTGTCCCTAAAGCAAATTTTCTGAGGATCAGAGACCTTCCTGGTCTACTATTGTAACTCATGTGCTGCACCGTGGTTCAATCTTCAAGTTCCTGGTTCATTGCTTTGTGAGCACACTGGTTTGACCTTTGATGTGTGCGCAAGTGCATGTAACCACTTTTGTAACAAACTGGGTGTCAGTATTAACTTGATTTGAGTGTGATTGGGTTCGTTGCTAAAAAGTGGCCGTGGTGCTTTCCAAAGTCTCCAACCAAGGCCCTTAAGGTGAGGTGTAGAGGCATACGGCGTATAACGTGAAGGTTTGCAATTAGCATGTTACCAGTTTGATCGAAAAGTTAGGGAAGGGTATACGGTGGCTCGAGAACAACCGGGATCCGGAGGCCCAGAACTATTTCGTTGTTTCCATTCAGTTGGCTTGCTGGTTTTCATTCTGGTCTCTTTTGCAGGGCAAGTGGTTGTGGTCACAGAAATGTTTTGCTTTGCCTTCGGACGCAGGCTGGGGAATGGCCGCAGGACCTTGAGTTCAGCATTGAACATGCCTTAGAAATCCTAGGTGGAAAATGTTCGGGATTCTCCCTGAGGTCCGCTGTCTTCAAGACTGGAGATCGCCGGCGTTTGGTGCGCGTCTGACAGCCTTGACGACCCAAACATGCCCCATGCATTGTTTCCTTCAAACGACAATGCTCCGCATGGAACAGTGTCGCGTGCATCCCACGCTGTCGTTTGTAACTCACTAGATATCATATTTAGCTGGCAGCATGACGCCGCATTATATTCAAGCTGGATCATATCCCTAATGTGGACGCCGTGGTGCACACACGTGTGTCCAATCCCTTGGACTGATGTTGATTTTCTCAATGAAACACCTCCTACCACAAGCCATTCCCAGACACTCCATGGGACTGGATTATATGCTTACATTCACCCCACGTCCACCCCTGACCTGCTCGGGAGCCACAGGCCAGTTCCATTGTCTCCCTTTTCCTGCTCGCACCTCTCAGGATCCAGGCCTTGTTGAAGTGCTGGGCCGATGTGAACGACGTGACCCGCAAAGAGTCCAAGGAGACGCCGGTCCCCGGTGGTGGATACCGTGGTGAAAGGTATAAGGAGTTGTTGGTTAACGCAAAGTGGTTGGTTTGTTCAGAAGAAATGAGGACATATAAGCGTAGTCGGCATGCAGCGTGACATACGCAGTTTTGGACTCATTCTGGCGTGTCACAACTAAGTAGCAGATGCGCTATGACAGCCGCTATGATGCACTGATGCACCACGATGTACCAACAAATCCTGTCAGACTGACTGTGTCCCAAAGTCCGAGGTCAAAAGACGAGACAGTGGAGGAATTTTTGTGTTGAAGGATACCCAATCCCTAACCCCCCAGCTAAGGCCC